TCTAGAGCGACTAGTGGGTGCAGGCAAAGAAAATCGAGAACTTTTCGAAGAGCCGCACGAGATTCAAAATGTGGCATGTAGTCCTCGGGCAGGAGAATTATTTGGAGGTTTCAGACGTATAATGAGCAAAGAAGTGAAGGAGGAGTGTTGGTTCCAATTAGTACACCATAGCGTTTACGACCTTGCCAAGATTGATGTTCGCTTGTTGTTTTGAAGTGCCTATCAGCGTCTTTCCATTGTGTCGTACCAACTGTTTGCCAGATGCAGGGGAAAAGATTTGTTCGAGAAATTGCGATCAATTTCCACAAAAATCTCGAGAATAACTGGATTTTTCATATTGCATTGATATTAAAGTCGAAAATTCGCTCACCAACTTAAGGCTTTACGATCCTGACCGTGGTCATATCATGATCGATGATGTCGATTTGAAACAAACAGATCCTTCATACTGGCGACGACAAATTGGAACTGTGGGACAGGTCTGTCACTTTTGTGAACCGCTGTAGCATTAAAATTCGTCTTATTGGATCGTCAGCGATCATATCGAGCTGGAACATGCGTGGTGCACTTTTCTAGGAGCCAGTATTGTTCTCAACTACTATTCGAGAGAATATTCTTTATGGTGCCGAATACCCTGATAAAATCACGGAGGACAAGGTATGATTGGCTTGAATGGAAATTTTATAGCTGGATCCTTTCTTAAAAAATGACTCGTTTTCCAGATAGAGGAGGCTGCAGAGCAGTCAAATGCTCTCGATTTCATCCAAGCATTCCCTGATAGATTCGATACCATGGTATTTTTTATAAAACGATTTAGTCTGGTTTTGCTGGTTTTTTTTTCGCTACATGTTTTTGTTTTCGCCTTCTTTCGTTGAATGCTTTTTGGTTCAAGGTCGGTGAACAGGGATCAATGCTCAGTGGCGGCCAAAAACAGCGAATAGCAATCGCGAGAGCACTGGTTACGGCAAGTATAATTATGTCATTGATTTCTTTCTAATTAGTCATTTCACTAGGGAAATGATTTAGGATCCAAGGATTCTAATCCTCGATGAAGCGACAAGCGCGTTAGACGCAACATCGGAGTACTTAGTCAGGAAAGCACTTAATCGACTGCTGGAAAATAGCCACCAAACCGTGCTTATTATTGCTCACAGGTAATTTTTCTCCTGGCATATTCTGGAAATGAAGCAAATCAGTCAGGTAGCGTTTACATTCAATCTTTAGGTTGTCTACAATCAAGCATGCGGACCAAATCGTTGTCTTGGACAAGGGAAGTGTAGCTGAGAAAGGCACATTTGATGATCTTATGCACATGAAAGACGGAATATTCAAGAAGCTGGTCGAAAAACAGGCAATTGGTTGGAGAGATGAGAGCTACTAATCGATTCGAAATAGATAATCGCCTAGTGTATTTATAGATTTTATATTTGTACATGAGTCATTTAGGTTTTGAGCTTGAACTGAATGTGAATTGTTACCGTCGGGTGGGTTTCGCTCGTTTTACTTTGTGTATTTAAGTCTTCCTAAAGGCGCAGTCTAGCCACTAACGATGCATTTACTCAGTAAAAATTTTGCGCAGTAGTAGTTTCATGGCGTTAGCGTAAAAAACTCAGGGAACATGAAGTCATATTCGACTGAAACAACTGCCCATCAAGGCTGTTTGCCCACAGAAAAATTTATCCCACCTCGGGCGGGCTCATATTTTGCATATTTCTACGTCTTCGCTGATTCTTCACAGTTTTTGTAGCGCATGACTTATGTTTTTAGGTTTGACGCTCACGAAATTGTCAGTTCTGTCAGTTTTTGCTCACTTTTATTCATACACACATTTCACTCTCTTGGAACCTACCTCTTATGTTACCTTTCCTGTATATTTCACGATATCTTATAAAAAATTCGTGTGCAACATCGGGAAAATGAGAAAAAAGCCTTTTCAGTACATATTTCTTAATTGCAGTCACAAGCACTCGTAGTAGGGACCTGCCTATGGTGTGTGACTTTCACATCGGTCTGACTTACTGGAACAAACTCCCGCAGGCATTTGCTCAGGGCTTGTTTTTCGAGAAGCCCAATATGTTTGCTGAGCGTTGGTCAATTCTCACACTGTTTTGTTTTTGCTATACCGACGCTTGGATTTCACTCGTCGCATCATTGTATCATGTTACCCAATCTTTCACGTACATTCTTGTCTGTAGTTGTCTACTTAAAGGCAGCGATTACGATAAAGAGGAAGCGCATCGGGGAAGCATATGCACCACACGAAGCAGTTACTTGGCTGCCAAGGAAGCGAGGTGTGGCGCTTTCACGACGAAAGGTGCGCTGGTTGCTGAGCAGGACTTCGAAAGCGCTCCGCCCCAAAGCGATCCGCCCACTAGTTTAGTTGGTGATTTGGACGAGCTGCGTTGCCAGCAGCGGCACAACTGGAGCAACTCGATTAGGAGCGTGGTTTGGCATGGTTTACCAAACGCACTGCGGTGAGCTCGTTCATACGTCCGATTGCAGAGCTTTTACCTGTCCATAAGTGGAAGCTAACGGCCGAAAAAGAGGGTCCCTTTTGCGTTTCTTGATGGATTTCTCTGCTTTTTTTCCGCCACTGGCGTACCACTGAGCACCACCTCCTCTCTCTGAACCCTCCTACAAATTATCGTGGTCGCTGCCTCTAAAGGCAAGCCCGGGATAAAATAGGTGTGGAAGTGTTCAGTAATGAAGTGTAGGTAGGTGATGGTCTGGAAAAGGAAAAGAAGGTGAGAGAAATCTCCCGATTACGCCCCTAATGAGGATCTCCTGTATTCCAGCCGCATTCCTCCTTGGGGTAGCAAAGGTCGAGTTATCCGCGAACTTAGCCTCTGATTGCTCCAGAGCGGGAGGCGGTCATATGGCGCGATCCATTGGCATTAGAGCGCACAGCCCCACCTGTTCACTTAACTACTACAATTCAACAGTTGATCGACCTGGTCAGTTGGGTCTCTGGGATCACGATGAGTCTCAATAATCTTCAAAAAAACGGATGGCTTCAATTGGCCTTACGCAAGACAAGAGGAGTGATGGGATGAGGTGCGCGGACGAGTTGTCCGGTCAAAGCAGTATGTGGCAACTATGACCTGTGCGCTCCAAAGCCAATGGGATCGCGCCATATGACGCACACCCTCCAGCCAATAAAATTGGACCGCAATGCAACCGCTGCTGCACTGTACGTGCTTTTCTCGCAGTGCTGCGTGGCAGCTGACAGCGGAAGGCGGGGCTTGCGGATGCAGGCGTGGATTGCGGGATGAGCGAGCTTCTACCGCCTTTGTCGCGCAGGTGAGCGCTCCCATACCGTACCGTGCCTTGATATACTTGTCTAGCATTTCATTCATTCAAATCTTTTCTCTTAAAAAATCCAATCACTGGCAATGTGATCAGCTTTGCCGGGGCTACCCATCGATAATAGCAGTGGTTTTTCATTTCCCTGTTCCAGGTTCGCTCTCATATGGAATTAATGAGGTCTGACCTCATAAGGAAAGAGCCTACGATTGTTGAATGGGCCGATTCGCTAACCTGGGGAACCTTACAACCACAAATTAGTTTCTCAAAATTATAACTTGTCAAGGACTCAAACATGACTTGGTCAGACTGCGCCGCTAGGCAGATCTGTTCAACCAATTTCAAAGTTCAGTTTACGTGGGTTTAGCTCGTTTTCATGATTCACGTCTTTGAACCAGGTTTGTGATGAGTTTGACGGTTCGAATGTTTGAGGCGAGAAGCTCTTTCAAGGAAGCCTCGTGTTTGTTATAGTTCTTCTCGAATTATACGCGTACTATTCTACCCGTTCGAAAGTAGGTGTTGTTTGATTAGTTTATCTCTAACTTATAGCATTTTTTGCTACTTCAGGTGGTGTTGTTAGTCCAGTACGATGGATTTTCATCTATACATACAATATGTTGATACTCTTTAATTCGTTCGTTATTATTGAAAAACGGTGGTGTGTCATAAGGTTCAGCGCCTGCCATCATATAACGCAAATGTGAATTATAATATGAAATAAATTGTTCACAGATTACCAAGATAACAGGTTTATTCTGACTATACAAGCAAATCAACACGAGTTGGAAAGGTGAAGGGTTCCAGAAAAGAGAGAGGATTTAAAAGAATTGAAAACGATTCTTCGAACAGGTCGTCCACATTGCTGCAATGATTTGCTCAGCGTCACCGAATTCGATACACAGATTGTTCAGCACGTAGATGTATTTGAGCGCATAGTCGTACTGAAATCATAGTGGTGACAGTACTGTAATAGAAAGTGTAAGGCCGATGTCATAGTTTGCGAATCGAGCGATTCGCTAGCGAATCGCTCGATCCGAGCGTTGCGCTAGCGAATCGCTCGATTCGCAAACTATGACATCGGCCTTAGGCTGGTGTCAGAGTCCGCGATCCGTCGCGCGATTCGCGCGAATCGAAAAATC